TGGGCTTATAAATTTCACTAGAATCATTTATGATAGTGTTTCCCAACCTGGGCAACTTCAAGATGTGTGGACTTCACTCCCAGAATTCCCCAGCCAGCATGGCCATTGCTAAAAATTCTGGGAATTGAAGTCTATAGATTTCAAAGTTGGCCAGGTTGGGAAACACTGATTTAGGACTTTCCTCCAATTCAGGCACCCTCAGAATGTGTTAGGGTTACAATTCCCAGAATTTCTAAATAGCAACACCAAGCAATTGTGCTGGCTGGATACTCTAGGAATTGTAGAACCCGATTCATCCAACTCAGGTTAGGGACAGTTGATTTACACTGTTCTGGAGAGCAATAATTTTCTCTTCAGAACAATGAACCATTTGAATCCTATACAGCCACACTAAACAGATGTCACTTATCTAATGCAGTTCATTACATGGTTGTACAACTTGATCTTCCATTAGTGCAGCCCTTAGTCCTGTGGCTATTTTAATCTGCATTATATTCTGCTGGGTCACTGTTGCTGTCAGCTCCTGAAGTTAAAATCTTTGGGCTGGCAGCAGATCATTCTTGGAATCTTTGCAGTTCTGAAGTGTACTTGTTTTGGACATCAGCCAATGTCATAGTTTGGCAAACTGTAGAGTGCAGAGTTTGCTATTCATACTGGGTGATGCTCGTTTTTTAAAAAGTAGCAGTCGCAACATCCTGGCAGCAGCACATGAATTATAAAGCCACTTTCTCTCTTCCCATATATTGAAAACAAAATTAAAATTTTTGCACTTATTAAAGATACACTGATGCTTTAATGTCCACCTCCCTACATGATGTCTCCATCATCACAGAAGTTATGTTTGCAATCATAGGGCAAATTATGACTAGTGAGATCTTGATGAAACTGAAATAACACAGTCACTTGCCATACTTCTAGCCCACATGCTAAGTCTGGTTATCATAATTTAAGGTTCTCACCCAGAATAGGGTTTCATCTAAAACTGTCCATCCTCCAGCCACATAGGACTCACTGTTTGCTTTGACAAGAAAACAACCTGGACATGGCTATGAAGTCCCCAAGAGTCAAACTCAACTGGAGGGAATCTGTGCCCACAACTATTTTATTGACATGTAAATATTTTCTCAGGTTCACCCTGAATACTTAACATATGCTGTTTGATATGTAGAACAGTATCTTTTGCTTTAAAATACCAAGAGATCCTGTTCCTTTTGTGCTGTCTTTCCACCTCTCATTTTGGTACCAATTCTATCTTTCTCTCCCTTTCCACCTTTACAGAAAGCAAATTCAGGATGAGTTTACCCATTGTACTGACTGATAATGTGGCTAGCTTGGTTCTGGCTTAGCAAACTAGGTAAACCCAGGAATTGTGGTTTGTAAGCCATGATGTCTGGCTAAGCTCAGGTTTATGGCATGGAGTTGCCTCCCATTCTCAGCCACAACTCCCAAGACAGAACTTCCAGAAGCAAATCAAGTGTCAGCTCATTCTTTCAAGAAGTAAAATTTAAAATAGGAACATAAAGCTTTTACAGGATACTTCCTTTGCTTAAAACTTACTCTCAACACCCCTCCCAACCAACAAGGAGCCCAAAAGTTTGGTTACAGCTTCTCCTTGGTGTCAGGAGTCACCAAGGTGGCAATCAAAGTCAACAATTCTTAATTCAGTCTCGGTCTGAAAAAAGGTGACTTCCTTCTGGTTTAGCACCTAGCGCAAACAGAGCTTAAAAATTCCTGGAGGTACAGATGGGTATTCTCTGAGTGTTTTCAGGCATGTGAAATGCGTTATGGAGTTCTTTTATCTTACTTGCACTATCTTGTTTGTACATTGATTAGCTCACATTTATACCCCACCTTTCTTTTAAGGAGACCAGACTTCCTGTACATTTCTTCTCTTGTCACTTTTCAAGGGGCGGGAAGCATATCAGAAATGGCAACGAGGAAGAAACATAAGCCTTTCACCATTTGTAAAGCAACCAACCATGCAACAAGGGGTACTGTTTTGCCATCAGCTGGGTGCATTTCTTTTCCCTAAATCACAAAGGGCTGATGTCTGCCTAAAACTGTTACTGCATGGCAACCTTAGTTCTCTCACAGATGGTCAGGAGACTGTGACCCATGTAAAAAGGGGGCGGGGCTTTGATCAGGAAGCCATAGCTCCCATCTTGACTCTTTCAAAGCCCCTGCAGATTGCCCTGCACAGACCTGATAGCCAGTTACCTAGCTCAGTGAAGGTCTAACTTTGCAGTAGTTGGGCTTTCAACTGATTGGCTCCACCTCTCACCTCATCTTTCCCGATATTTTATGATACTGTTAATGTGGCTAGCGTGGCTTCAGGCAGGCTCTTGTCTGCTGATGAGTTTTTAAAACTTTTGCGTGAACATCTGTCTCTTAGAACCTTGATGAGGATTGCTTGAGTTATGCACATTTCAGCCTTTGTTAAAGGTCTTTGACCTTGCCACCATGAAACCATCTTAATCTACTGTGTAGCTTTTCAAAGGGATTCCAAGCGATGCTTTCTACTTGGAAGAAA